AAAATGCTGATTGAGGTTTTGATTTTTTTTTTTTAATGGTGGGATTAGGTTTATTTAGTCTTCTTGATCAATGGACCAGAGGATTGATTATGAGAAAAGATCGCACACTGTATCAGATTATTCTGGAAATGAAGGGATGAAAAGAAGGAACCCAAATGATGAAAAAGAACCAAATGGCATTGGACCAGATGATACGGTTTACCGTTATTTGTCTCCATTGAGAAAAATTGGGAGCATTATTGGAATTGGTGGGGATATTGCTAAGCAGTTGAGAGCCGAAACCCATGCAAGGATTAGGATTAGCGAGACTATCCCGGGGTGTGATGAACGTGTAGTCACCATTTATAGCACAAGTGATGAAACAAATAGTTATGGGGAGGACCTAGTTTCACCTGCACAAGATGCCCTTTTTCGGGTGCACGACAGGGTGGTCACTGAGGAGTCACCTGTGAATGGTGCATTTGAGGAGCCTCTGCAAGTCACCGTGCGCTTGCTTGTGCCATCTGATCAGATAGGTTGTGTGATTGGGAAAGGAGGACAAATAATCCAGAACTTACGCAATGAAACTGGTACTCAGATCAGAATTTTGGGTAGCGATCATTTGCCACCTTGTGCTCTGAGTTCTGATGAACTTATCCAGGTAGTGAACCATTTTTAACTCGTATTCTTATTTTCTTTTACTCATTTTCCACCCACTATTTTAATTTACTTGTTGCTTGCAATGATTTTTTTTGAAATGGATGTTAAGAGTTGTATTTTCAGTATTATGGTTTATCTGGTGGGATCTTGAGAGTAAGCATGCAGGATAGTTTCAGACCTTTTAGAATTAATAAGATGGTTTGTTTTGCAGTAGCTCGTCTTTAAAATATACAGAGAATCCATAAAATTTTCCATGATGTCTAAAGATGGTTAGTCTGGGTTTCATAAGATGATGGTGAAATTTCTCCTGTGAACGATATTACATTTGTCTCCTCTTATTTGTGCTATGAAATGAAACCTATAGTATGCTCGAGGTTTTCTGATGTTTGCTTTTGGTTGTTTTGTGTGAAGAGTGGTTGGAAAAATATTGGTGATGATTTTTACAGTTAGTACATGTTCAATTTTCAGATAACTGGAGAAGCTACTGTAGTGAAGAAAGCTCTATACCAAGTTGCATCTCGTCTTCATGATAACCCCTCAAGGTCACAGCATTTGCTCTTGACGGCATCCAGCATTTATAGATCTGGAATAGCATTCAACAATCCAAATGTTGGTGGCCCTCTTATGGGCATGACTTCGTCAATGGGTTCTTATGGGAGTTCTTATACTGCGAAGGAGTTCTCACTTCGTTTGATTTGTCCAACTGAAAATATAGGTGCTGTGATTGGAAAAGGTGGTGTTATTATTAAACAAATAAGACAGGAATCTGGGGCATTCATTAAAGTTGATAGTTCTGGTGCTGAAGGAAATGATTGTGTTATATCCATATCAGCAAAGGAGGTGAGCATAATTTTATGTAGTTTTTACAATGATAATTAAGAAAAACCAAGTCAGGAAGTTTGTGTTGACCTCTTTTTTATATCTCAGACATTTGATGCTCCTTCCCGGACTATCGATGCGACAATGCGGTTGCAACCCCGGTGCAGTGAGAGAACAGAGAGAGAGTCAGGCGATCCTGTTCTCACCACGCGTGTTCTTGTACTAAGCTCTAGAATTGGATGTCTTATTGGTAAAGGTGGGGCTATCGTGAAAGAGATGAGAAATACTACGAGAGCTAACATCCGGATTCTTTCTGACGAACAAGTTCCCAAAGTTGCATCTGAAGACGAGGAGATGGTGCAGGTTGATGACATTGTTTTTGTGCATGTGTGCATGGCTGTCTGTCCATCTCTATACCATCCTATTTTACCTGTCTCCCTGTTTGCTTGTCCTGTCTCTGCATTTTCATTCTCATTCATATAGTTGTCACATTTGAAAAGATGTTAGAGTGATTGTAGTTGTCACATTCCAGATTACTGGAGACCCGAATGCGGCTAGAGCTGCTTTACTACAAGTAGTGATGCGCTTGAGGGCAAATGTATTTGAGACTGAGGGAACTTCATCTGGATTTCCTACACCTGCTCCATATCGTCAAATATCATCAGACATGTCTGATGGCCCCAAATATACGGGTCGTGATAATAGATCAAGAAATCATGGATATTCGACCTACTCAGGTGGTTATGACCCCAAAACTTTGCCACCAGATGAAAGTTATGGGAGTTATGATGCTTCACAGGTACCTTCTACCAATTTTTTTAGTAAGATTGAATGTATTCTGATTCTCATAATTTGGAACCACATTAGTTTTCTAATAATTGATAATGTGTTATCCTTTTTAAAGACATTCATTTCTAGTATGGAACTGGTACACCAAATGTTTTCTTTAGCATCTATTTACTTGCCACACAAACATTCACCTGTTGCCCCCGGCCTGATCCATGTTCAATGCTCTAGATTGTCAGTGAAAGTGGTTATGGAGCATATGGTGTTTATTCATCTGGTCATTCTGGTGTTTCTGGGTAAACTTTTGGCCCTCCTGAAATTTGTCCTCCCTCCTCCTCACCCTCAACATATGTAGTCTTTTATGGTTTTCTTCAACTCTCAATCTTGCTTGAAAGATTTGGTTAGATCTAATTATTTCATCCAAGCTCATAGTTTGTGTCCACTCTTACCAGGTTATCTAGGCAGAACCCAGTTTCATCCGAAAAATCTTATGGTTATTAGAGTTTCTGGCTGTTAAGGCATGGAGGTAATGCATGGCTTCCTTTTTTCTTGTTCAATCTTAATATTATAATATTACAGCCCATGCTCTTTATGCTGCACGTTTACCCTCTTCTTGTTAAGTAGCTTAAAGCATATATTTGTTTCTAATAGTCTCTCTCTCTCTTTCACAGTTACATTATGACAGTTATGGTGTGTGATGCCCGAAGCTAGCCAATTGCCTTTTTTAATGATGGCTTGAGCCCGAGACCAGAAGACCTAATCAACGAGACATGAGAAAATCTTATCTATTTTTGCCCTAAGAATTTTTTCTTTATTTTGTTATCACAATTGGTGTTTTGTAATGAGAGCTGTTATGTTGATTATGGTCTTGTACTAGCTTGAAGTTTTCTACTTTCATGAAGTGATTTAGCTTGTAGAAGTTCAATTCCAGTGAAGTGTTGCACATTTGTAAAACTTTTGAACACGATGACTAGTATCGTTTGCTCATTTTGTTTCACCCCAGCTTTAAAGATCTGTCTTCCGACGATATCTATGTTTCTATTCACAATGCATTTCAGTAGGCAGGCTTCTCAGTATATGAGTTCTTAGTTTGGTATAATAAGCTTACCTGCTAATGTAACGCTATCTTACTCCAAATAAAGCATTTTGGTTCTCATGTAAGTTTTTCCTCCATGGAGTTCGCAAGCATTGTGAAAGTGCTCTACGCATTCTCCTATGCTTCTGATATTAGTTATTACTTCACATTTTGGTACAATTTACCTTCCATTAATAACATTTGCACACTACATGTGGGATCTTTTTAGGCCAGAAGCCTATAAATTCACTTCTATAACTTGTTGATTAGCCCTAACATTTTCTCGGGATTCATTGAGCTTATCTGCTTTCAAAGAGGTATAATTCAGTATGTTCGTGGATATTTGTGCTTTAATATCACATTGCTCCATCTGAACATGTTTATATGATTTTTATTTGGCAGGATTGACAGAATTCATTTCTTCCAGCATTTACAGTAAGGTAAGCATTTCTGTCAAATGTATTGAATGGGATACCAGGATGTAAGATTATCATTGGCCATGAACCATTAGTGAAGGTGAGCTGTCTTTTGTCTCCTTTTCTTAGTTTTTTTAATTTGGTTAAAAGAGATCACTTGAGAGAACAAACAAATTTCTGAGAGGGAGATGCATTATACTTATTGCTTCTGAAAATCATGGGTTTCCTGCTTTGCTTTGGAGGCATACGATAGTAAGATGGATTTTGCCAAAGAATAAAATAAAATAAATCAAACGAAGTGATTCATATACTTGACTTCATATTATTAGGTTGCTATATACTACTTTACCTCTATGCTGGGTACAACAACCATGTACTTTGTAAATTGGTGCTATTTATCAAGTAAACGAAGCAGAGCTTTTGTATCAACATCTGGAACTTTGTTTGATTAACGTTGTTCCTAGTCTTCCCATTGGCCGCTTGTTTCTATTGGTTATGCATAAAAGGTTTTAAAACAGATCATTTGTTTATTAATCAAAGTGATTTTCAAAATAATTGTTTTTCTTTTACTTAAAAATAAGAAAAGTAACATAACTGAACACTTTCGAAATTAAAAAGTTGCTTAACCCTCAATGCTCATTAAAAAAAAGTACCATTTTTTCTTGTAATTTGTTAATTTTGCATGTTAACTACATTATGCACCTTATGAAATGGGGATTTTAAGGTGGTTCTACGCTTACTCAAACTGAACTTTTATTATATTAATAAATTCAATATCTATTACTCTGGTATTTGAAACGTCATTAGCATGGATTAGGACCCAAATCGGTAGCCACTGGCATTTCAAATTCATTTTCACAGATCTGACAAGCAAAATTTTCATAAATGAGTGCTATTAATTTATTAGCACGAAATCTTTGTTTGCTCTGGTACTCAGTACTTGGTAAAATATCCTCGTTTATTAGCTTGAACAAGAAAAAACAACAGACAGATTATTTATTTATACTTGCATAATCACGGTAGAGCAGGTAAAAATCTAGAAAGAAGTGTTTGTACTTTTTGGGTTGCTGAGGGATTCAAAAGTATATTGTTTCATGTCAGCAAAACCTAATTCCACATTGGTATTTTCTGATTGGTGTATTACCTAGGAAAATCCAAACATGCTTATGTAGGTTAATTTGTATAAATTCATCCTTTTGCCTTGGACACTTTGAACAGTTGAATTATACTTGCAGTTGAGAAAACACTGAACTAAGCAGTGAAAAATGAAGGCAGGAGGCGCAGTTGAAGGTGGTGAAGTAACAAAAGTACCAAGAGGGAACAGGGTGTTTGCCATAATAGACCTTATTCTCAGAATTGTGGCCATTTCTGGAACATTGGCAAGTGCTGTGGCAATGGGAACTACAGATGAAACTCTTCCTTTTTTCACTCAGTTCATACGATTCAGGGCTCAGTACGATGACATTCCGACCTTCCGGTTAGTTAATTACTCATATTATGTTGTTTAATCTGTGTTTTGATTGCGGCTCATTCAACCAGGAGCACGAAACTGGTCTGGTTATAGCCTAAAAACCATTCTTAGACAACCGGAGGGTTCAACCTCGAACTGGATGAACCTGCCACAAGTTCTCCGAATCTCTGGAATGCATGTTTATTTTTTATTTACCTTTCATTTGACCTCATTTCTATCTTTGTCAACCATTTCATGTTCGAACTTCTATCGCGGGTCAGTCTTAAAACATTGTTTAATATTAATTATTTCATGCCAGTTATTATAAGAAAACTTGACGTTTTTTTCTCTTCTGTTGCAAAGGGTTTTTGTGATTGTAAATGCAACAGTATGTGGATATCTAGTCTTGTCTCTAGCCATTTCCACTTTTCACATCGTGAAGAGCAGAGCGGCGAAGACTAGGACAGTGCTAATCTTTTTGGACTCGGTAAGAGATCTATGCTTCTCTTCTCAGCACTTATAAAATTAATTGCGTTACTTAAATACTTTGTGACTTTGGTTTGGCCATCAACCTACAAAACAATATACATCTTGGGCAACATTGGGTTTGCTAGATGGAGATAATTGGAAATAGGCCTTCACCTTCCACCTAATATTACAATAGATTTGTTTATCACAGAGAGGTTCTTCGTTCCTCTGCTCAAATCAATCGGGTATAAATAGGAATACTGATAATTGTGTTAGATTAGTAACCTATTTACCAGGCTGAGCTCTTAGAGAGTCGATTTATCATGCAATCCAAGTAGACAGGAGTCCTTAATATCGTGCAATCGTGAGAGTGCTTTCATCTCAAACAAACAAATTAGAAGAGGGAAAGTAAACCAAGACTATAACACGGCAGTTGTAGTTTGTTTGGATCTTAAGTAGAGTTCACAAGGAATCGAAAGAGTGTTGAAAAAAGATTCATAAAAAGCGACTCTAAATCCAGGGCTTCGTTCATTGTTAAACGGATTTCTAGCAACCCTAAACCTAACATGTTAAACCTAAAAAATGGTGCAGATAATGCTAGCTGCAGTCTCTGCTGGAGCCTCAGCAGCAGCAGCAATTGTGTATTTAGCACATAATGGGAATGCATCAGCTAACTGGTCTGCTATTTGCCAACAATTCCAAAACTTCTGTGAGCGCACTTCTGGTTCTCTTATTGGCTCATTTGGTGCAGCACTTATTTTCATTCTGCTCATCTTTCTGTCAGCCATAGCATTATGTAGGCTCTGATGACATTCAAATGGATATACTGGTGTTGCTTCTACCTCTATCTGATGTCTAACTTTATATTGGGTACTCGGACCGTGTAACGTAATCTTCTATAATACTACTCAGTGCTGCTTAATTCTCTCTATCAAACACGATGTTTATATGCCCTATCTAAAGTTGTCGACATAAAGAATCTTAATTGAGTGAGAACCCCTACAGAATGAGATTCTACGAAACTAGAACTCTTCGAACATTTTTATCGATCTACTTCTCACACAGTGTCTTTACCGACTCAAGTATGAGAGTTTGAACTGAGTTTTTTGTCGCCCCTGAAGAAATTGTATCAACTATTATTACTAGACAAGCATATAATAGAACTGGGAAACTTTTGACTACAAAGTCATTATATCTTCAAGTTATACAATATAATTAACCACCAATTCTATTTGAAAGATACTTCTATCAATTTGCATGTAATTTTCTTTAATTCTGACCTTCAATATTCATGTGGAAATGCTGGAAATTTTCTTACAAAGCAACCCACTTTCTCCACTATAATACAAACCTCATATGCTGCTGTGAAAAATTTATGGATTTCTCAGTTTCTGCTAAGATCTTTTCCATTTCAATTTTTTAGAACTCGTCCGACAAATGCATCTTCTTATGCTAACATGGCAACGAGATCATCGATCGATTTCAACGTCTTCTCATAGAATAGATACGATTCATACACCTTCGGAGTCCGAACGTAATAATCAAACTGTAAAAAACGAATCAGACACCAAAGTTTCAGTAAAAAGATGGGGAATACTACAAGAAGAATTATTCTAAAAAGATGACATACTTTCACTAAAAGGGAAAAAGAGATATTGTTGAACACTATACGAATATGGATGGTAAGCAATAATGGATATGATTGGATTAAAGTCGGCCTTACCAAACGAGTTATTTTGTCAAAAACAAGTCAGTAACAAGCTTAGACTAGCAACTAACCTCGGCCATGTTATCGACCAATTCATTCGCAGTTTGAATATAAGAATTTCTCCGGCTTTGAGGCACCATTGTCATGGCAGTTTGCATATCCTGTGAAAGATAAGCTTGCTTTAAACGTATGTAATACAAAACATACCTCCATGACATGGTTTCCAGCATGCCCCTAATGCTATGAAGTCCTTCGGCAGTCTGTCGAATTCTTGCCACCGAATCTTCTGGCGACAATCCAGGCTCGAAGAACCTCTCCCGGAGAAACGACCGCGTACCCCAATTCTCAGCTAGTGCAAATGGGGTGGCATGGAGGCCTAGAGCCACCGAAGTGGCTAGAAGTGACGTCAAAAAACTTCGTCGTTGGGTCGGATTTTCTTGATCAGATTTAGTTGCTTGGATTCTTGGAAATGAGCGGTGATTTTGGAGTTCATTTTTGTGTGCCGCGGTGATTCTAGTATGAAAAATGGTTGAGTTGGAGAAGATGAAGCTCATGGCTTAATTTATGTAGTTAGAATTTGATTGAGTACATGGAAAATTGTTGTGAAGGAAATGGAAATTGGAGTTTTGGGGCAGGTAGTGTGGATTAGTTTGTTGCAGTCTTACGACATGGACCTTTGCTTTTGGTGACATGGTATTCGTTATCCTCTTTTTATTTTATTTTATTTATTTATTTATTTATTTTCAAGAGCCCCCATAGACCTATTTTTTTTTATAATATAATTAAAAAAATATGTACCTATTTTATTCTGTGTTACTGTTTTATATATATATCAAATTTTGAACTTTTTTTTTCCTTATATTTCATTTAAATAAGAAAAATAGTTTTTGGTTTGGAGAATATTCATTTTTCTCATTTTGAAACAAATTATTGCAGCTCAATAATATTTTAACGGGAAAATAACATTAGAGATCCCCCAAGTTTTTATTAGTGTTGCACTTTGATCCTCCATCTTGAAAACAAAGTAGACTAAGCCCCTGCTTGACACCCGTTTTTGACAAAAAATAAATTCTGTAATAGTGATTGATGGAAGAATGTGTGGTTAAAAAGTAATGAAAATTTTTGGATTTATGTGTAGTATTATTTTATTGATAAAGTGTGTGGTTGAAATGAAGAAAGAGAAAAAAATGAGATTGAGAATGAGAAAAAATGGATGTCAAACAGGGGCTATTTATATAACAAAAAAGGGATAAATGATATCCTCCATCTTGAAAACAAAGTAGTTAAATCCTCAATGTTTTCCATGTGTTAGCACTTGAGTACCGGTGGACAACTCTACCGTCTTTTATTTAAAGAGACAAAGTTCTCGTAAAAAGATAATTCTAATGTTATTTATAAATAAACAAGACTAAGCCTCTGCTTGACACCCGTTTTTGACAAAAAATAAATTCTGGAATAGTGATTGATGGAAGAATGTGTGGTTAAAAAGTAATAAAAACTTTTGAATTTATATGTAGTATTATTTTATTGATAAAATGTGTTGTTGAAATGAAGAAAGAGAAAAAAATAAGAATGAAATGAGAAAAAATGGGTGTCAAACAGGGGCTAAATATATAACAAAAAAGGGATAAATGAAAAGAGAGAGAATGAGATAAAATAAATAATTTCCCCCTCTCATTCATCCTCTCAAGTCCCTATAAACATGGTTGCTACTCAAGCTTTCTTTTAAATCGTCAAAAAATGGGATTACATATTTTCTCTTTGATTTTGCTAAAAATTGTACTTTCAATAAAATTTGATAAAGATTGACAAAAAAGTGTTGTTGAAAATGAGTCTGAAAAGAAATGAGTATTTTTTTTATGGGGACATTAACTCATTGATGACCAATATAAGAATTTGAAAAATTATTTTTTTAGAATGCGTGGATAAAAAATAGTAAATTTCCGGATCTCATATAATGTGCGGCTGAAAATGATTTTCAAAAAAATATTCCCCATACAAAGAAAACTATTTGTTTCTTGTTTGTTTCTTTTATTTTTGTTTGTTTCTTTTATTTTTTATTTGCATATTTTGTTACTTATTTAATTTTTGCTCATTAGGATTCTCAATATAGATAAAAAAAAAAAAAAAGATTGTTAATTATAGGGGTAAATTTGTCATTTCAGAAATCAAGTGCTACCAAATTAAAAGATTGAGGATTTAAATGCTTGTGTATTGAAGATTGGGGATCGAAGTGTTAGACTCGTCAAAGATTGGAACCTCTTTAGCTATTTTCCCTATTTTTAAAATTGAATTTTTTAAAACATGAATAAAGCAAACTAATTTTTTTTATGAGAAAAAGGAAAGATAAAAATCCAAACTTTATTTCAACGCCAACATTTTCAAATTTTAGTATTTTGGTAAGAGGCATTTAATTTTCTAAATTAAACATAGTATAAATGCGTATGAAAATAATAAAAATTATAGAAAACAGTTTACTTTGGATATTGCAAATGAACTAAATTGATTAACTTCTAACAATATATTTATAGTCCAATAATAACTAACAAAGAGGGGAGTGAGTTGATTTTTCAAAAACATTTTCGAAGAATTTATTCAAATTTAAACAAGTTGAGAAAGAATAAGTCATTCAAGCAAAATGCACAAATACGAAATCAATAAGTAAAGGGAAAAACAGAATGCAAACAATGGAGTTGTAGATGTTCCATCTCAACAAATGATCTACGTTCCCCATTACTAAGTTTTCCGTCACGAGCAAAGCATTCTTACTCTATTGATTGATTTATGGTGCAATCCAAACCCTTACAACGCTTCCGGTAACTTACAAACAAGGAGTACCGGTTCTTATACAATATTAAGTTTTTTGACACCTCAATATGATCCACAAATTTGAAAAGAGATTATTTTACAATTTGAAACTTTTCTCTTAATAAATGATATATAAATAAATTAATTACTAAGAGAGAAAGATGCTAACACTTTAATGAATAGCAATTAATGAAGTTCAATTGTTATGTGAGGAAAAAACTTTGATGAGAAATATGTTTTTCAAAAGTTTATTCAATCAGAAGTTTTTCAAAGTAAATAATTTGACAAAGATAAATAAGATGTAAGATCAATATAATTTTGCTCAAAAATATATTAATTAAATGTCTTAAAAATGTTGCAATGAATGCAAAGTGAAATGGTGTTTATAGAGTTCAAAACGTCAAAAGTTCCAAGTAATTGGACATCTGCATTTCGAACCGGACAATCAAGGTAGTTGTTGTATGTCAAAATTCAGAATGGTTTAAAAAAGTGGCTGTTGGACGAATCAGACGTCCGCATCCATAGATTTCCCTCTGATTTTAATTTTAGAAAAATGTAGACTTTTGAAGGGCATTTTTAACTTTATTTTTAAAGGTACTTGATACTGTAATAAGTTTGAATAACAATTTGCGATACTTACCTTTTTGGAAAATAATCTTTATACAAGTCTTTTTATGAAATAATATTTCATGCCTAAAAAATTATTCGTTGAGCTTTTAATAATTCATTGTTAAAGATTGAAGTATTGCACCTTTATATATGAATAAAAACATCTAATCATATGAATACTATTGAAGTTCTTTGTCTCGAATGACTTGTCTTGAATGCTTGACTTTCATCTCGATTTTCATTGAATATCCGATTCAAGTCTTTTGATAGTGATCTTTTTATCCTCAATCGATCAACTTTATAACAATAGTTTTGAAGACATAAATTCAATTGTTAGAAATAAAATTAAATTTTTTTTTAATGATCAAAACATTTTAAGGATAAAGACAGCCATAGATCAACATATATATTTTGAGATTTGAGAAAAAGGGAAATATATATTTAGTTTAAAATTTTTTGATAATAGGGTGAACGTGCGTTGTACGTTAGTTGATTAATATTAAAAATAAACGTATGTAAATTTTAAAGAAATTCGTTGGTAAATGTAAAATATATTTATAAGTTGGTTCAAATTGACTTATTTTTCATCTATTTTCTTAGAATATTTTTGATTCTTTGTACAAATATTTGGTATTAATTTAAGCCCTTATTTGAGCTTCATTTTTTTTTTTAAATACATTCTTGAATAGTGTTTTGACCCATTTCAACAACATTTTTCAATAAAATAATATTACACGCAAACCAAATTTTTTTCTTATTTTTTAACCATACATTTCTCATCAATACATTATTCAAAATGCATTTTTTTGGGATAAAAATAAGGCTCCAACAAGCCCTAAATATATTCCTCTTATCTTTCGATCACTTAAGAATTGATATACATAGTGAAAAGATTCCATTACTTTCAAGTTCAAGATAGAAGCTAAAGGTAGACAAATTATAGAACCAAACTACACATAATGTTCGGCTCAATAACTGCTTCATGAGTAGTTTAAAATACAAGTGACATTTAAAGGTCATTTACAAATTTCAGAAGCTATTTGTTGTTACGTGTTGCATTTCAAACTGTAATGAGACAGAAAGAACAAAAACCATTTCTAACTCGCATTATTGCTACAATGTTTAAACATTCTGAATGGTTGGATTCATCCACTGCAGTGCATTTGCCTTTGCCCATGTTGTTGCTCCGGTAAGTAATAATCTACAAAAATAAATTCTTTAAGGACTGTGAGATGAATGTTTTGAGGCATCTAGAGCAGAGATAGAACCCAGTACGAAAATTAAGACTACCCAGGCACTCCCAAAGCGGATAGTACATACGATATGATGACGGCTCCGGCACGAGGTCGGATCGTTACAGCTTTCTAAAGAGAAGCAACGAGTTGAGCAAATTTTGTTTCTTTCTAGTTGTTGGGGGCAAAATTAGATGGTCATGAGGAATAATATCAACAACCAAGCAAGTTGTATCATCCTTCAAACCTCGTGACCTGAACGCTTCCTGCAAAAAGAAAGAATTAACATAATGTTCTAAGGGCAAGACATAAAAGAACAATTTGCAAAATTAAATATTTATTAGTATGCGTACCTTAACAACCACCATTGCAGCAAATTCTACAGGTAAACCTAGACAAGACTGGGCGGCCATATTGGATGGAGTTTTGCTATACAAACATAATATTTGACATAGAGGATGACACCCCACACACACATGGAGGAGATCGATATTTTTTAATTCAGGCCTGGACCCACATGTAATGTGAGAGGTCTGTCAACCCCTATGTCAATTATTATGTTCATTTAGCTTAATTCTCTTCTTTTAGGCTAATAGATTAATGAATTATGCTAAGTTTACATTCTATAGTGTACACTTTTGTTGACATTGTGTCAGAATTCAAAACGTGTTGGATGGAAAAGTGTACGCTTTTTTTTTAAAAAAAATGTCCAATCATATGCCGATACGTGATACAATATCAAAAATGATGTCAAATAAGATGTACATATAACATGATTGTAGATTAATAACCTTCACTTGCTTAACATGAGGTATTGGGATGATGAACTCCCCAACACGTGTCCGCAATTGACCTTGAAAGGCACAATCCACCAGGGCAGCAATGTAGTGGCCAAACGTATCAACTGTACCAGAAATGTTTAGCTATGATGTCTTAAATTGACAAGTATCCACAGCAAGTTGATAGGGAAAAGGAAAGAAAAATATATTGATCTTACAACCATAAACACTGAGCCTCCCTATTGGACTACTAGTTGCAGTTACACGCACTCGTTATTTGAACTTAAAATTACTGAATATGATGAAAATAAATTAGGTGGTATGGTGAAATGTTACATGAAATTAGGTGAACATGATGAAACGTTATATAAAATTGGGTGGCCATGATGAAATAAAATCAAATTGAGTGACTATGATGATACTAAATATAAAGTGAGTGGCTATGGTGAAACAAAATCAAATTAGGTAGCCATAGTGACACTAAGTATAAAGCTTGGTGGCCATTGATGAATTTAACTCGCAGAGAAAGGGGATGGTTGGGAAAATGGAGGAGTGGCTGGTTGCGTAAGAGCAGGGAGAAAGAGGACAAATAGGTACAAAAAGAAAACGACCTCACCTTCCCCCATTTTCAAAATAGTGTTTAAAAAATTGAAAGAATAAAAAATAGAATTGGTGGTTAACGATACAAAACCTGACACGTTTCCAGATGAATAGTTTCGTTGTTTTAACTTATTTTATATTGTAGGGATTTTCAATTGTACTACAAGTATAAAGGGATAAAGTGGGAAGTTTCAATTTCGTATTGACTAAATATATTTGTTGACCTCAAAAAATGTTGTCAATAGATGTCGGGCTCACTCGTGCATGTGCAAGCTAGATCCAACACGTAAAGGCCAATCAACGAGCGAGATTGCTCCGAAATTGGACGTGGGAGAAACTCAACGACACGAGAAGTTTCCGTTCGGGTTCCGGCAGGGTAACGAAATACGATTATACAATAATTACCAATTGCTAAGAACTCAGATTCTAGATTATGAATCAATGTAAGAGAATCAAATGAGTTGCTCCAAGTATTTAAAATTACATTAATCTTCAATTGTTACATGGTGAGGGTATTTATAGTATTACAAATGAAATTGTGACATTTGGATGAAATTACACGTGACCTCATCCCTACGGTCGAAGCATCAAATTCTAGCCATCATTTTGACTTCCTCGCATTACAAAGCATTTAATACTCTTACACCATATTGACAAGACAAGATATAATACAAATGCACTTTTTACACACGTCACAACAATCACTCACTCAAATAAGATCTCTTTAATAAATTCAAGATCTTTGCTCGTGACCCATCACTAATTGGAGTGGAGCCTCGGACCTGTTGGGCCTAGGATGTAGGCCTCGTCGACACATCCACCTCGAATTAATAATGGGTCTCAGAAATTACCAACTGGGCCTCGTCTTCTATAGCTGGTGGTTCAGCAGACATGGGTCCACAACTTCACTGGGCCGGCTGTGTGGCAAATGCTAGTAACAAATCATAACAATATTCATACTCCATTTTTTAATAGGGCAATTATATTCACACAATTTTTTTTTTATAAACATACTACATTTTAATTATATTAAGCCCTTGTTTGCTCCCCATTATATCTCATTACATTACATTAAATTTTTCTCTCTTTTCATCTCAACCATACATTCATCAAATAAAATAATAATACACACAAATCTAAAACTTTTCAACCACACATCTCCCATCAATCACTATTCTAAAAATTTTCAACCCCCTAAAAATCTACAATAATGGGGGCCAAACAGGGGCTTCGATAAAGAATAAGATTTGTAGTTGTAATTTTCGTAGTAAAGAGAGCAATATATTTCCAAGTGTTTGGTTTTTCATTCAGAATTTGCATTAGCCTTCTTTTGTTACATGGTGGGGGTATTTATAGTATTACAAATGAAATGGTGGCATTTGGATGAAATTACACGTGACCTCATCCCTACGGTCGAAGCATCAAATTCTAGCCATCATTTTGACTTCCTCGCTTTACAAAGCATTTAATACTCTTACACCATATTGACAAGACAAGATATAACACAAATACACTTTTTACACACGTCACAACAGTCACTCACTCAAATAAGATCTCTTTAATAAATTCAAGATCTTTGCACGTGACCCATCACTAATTGGAGTGGAGCCTCGGATCTATTGGGCCTAGGATCTAGGCCACGTCGGCACATCCACCTCGAATTAATAATGGGTCTCAGAAATTACCAACGGGGCCTCGTCTTCTATGGCTGGTGGTTTGGCAGACATGGGTCCACAACTTCACTGGGCCGACCACGTGGCAAATGCTAGTACCAAGTCATAACAATATTCATACTCCCTTTTTTAATAGGGCAATTATATTCACACAATTTTTTTTATAAACATACTACATTTTAATTATATTAAACGTTCTTAACTTTTGTTCATTGTCACATTTATATCCTTAGTTTATTTTCGTCATATTCCAATCTTTAACCTTTCGTTTTATGTTAGATATTGTCCTTAGTCACTGTTTTTTTTTTTTTTTTTCAAAATTACGATTAGCATGCTTCAAAATGAGAGGCAAATATTTTGTCTAAATTTGTATTTTTTTTCTTTTTGGCGTATTATAAAAATACAAGGGGAATCTAAATCTTTTTATTTAGCTCCTATTTGTTCCCCATTCTTTCAAAATTTGTTTTTCTGTATACCCATTTTCTACAACACATTTATATATAAAATATTCTACATATAACCCAAAACTTTCATATAGTTTTTAACAACATATTTTCAAAAAATTCACTGTTCAAAACCATATTTTTCAAAAAAAGAAAAAAAAAAAAAGTCCACCAAACAAGGGCTCAATCTTAATGAAATTTCTAGATAGAAATTGTTATCAATGACAACTTGTGTCAATTTGAGAATAAGAAAGTGATGAGAAAAGGCATGCAACTAAAATGTGGTGTAGGTAGCGTAGATATATTTTGCCTTTTTAATAATTGCATCACATTTTAATTTTATGAAATGTCCATAATCTTTACTCATTATCACATTTTTTCTGTGATTTTTTTCCATAGCATTCTTCTTTTCAAATTAACAAAAATTATCCGATGGCGATTCTTGTCAATAATTTTATTAAGATGGAGCAAGAATACTTATTTGCCATCGTATTTTTAAATAAGAGAAAAAATAAACACATACAAAATTACTACATAATATTTCATTGGAACATAATTTTTTTTTTACTTTTTAACTAGTCAGATTTTAATTTTAATCATATATTTTGTTGGATCTACAACTTTTATGAACTTTTTAATTACACTTATCATCAACTTTTATCAAAATTCGTTAAAATTTTTATCAAAATCTTTGTCCAATAGCCCTTACTAATACAAAAAAAAAAAGAGAGAGAGCGAGAGAGAAAAAAGAAGGAACTAAATGGATATCTAAGCTTTACCTTTGGCTATTGAGCAATAATAAGAAAGAAAACATTATATTGTTTTTATATTAAGCCCGAGTATGACTACCATTTAAATTTTTTTTTTTTTTTTTGTTCTCTCAAATTCATTTTCAATTACACATTCTCATAGTAACATATTTTGCATATAAATTCAAAAACTATTTTCTACTTTTTAACCACACAGTTTTGGTAAAATAACTATTTCAAAACTTTTTTTTTCCTCCCTAAAAATGCTCTTTAATGGTTGTCAAACGGGGCTAAGTATTAATGAAACAAAAATGTCAATGGTATAAAGAGGTAAAACCAGTACTATATATTTACTATTTGCTGGCAGTGATATATCTTAATGGACGTTTTTGTTAATTTTTATAGAGGGAAAATATGCCTTTGTAATTGTCAGAAACATCATGGATTTCTACCATTGTAACCTAAAATTTGAAAATTCTTAAATATTAAATTCTTGGTATTATACGAATCAAAAAGTTTATATGCTCATTCACCACTGTTTTGTTATCCGTTTTCTCATGTATCACTTACCCTTCAAACAAGCAAAGTTACATTTGAGATAAGGCTTAGGTAAATACCCACATGCAAAAATCAATTTATAAATATTTAATGTGGCGTGTGACAGTAATTAACCTTGATTAAGTCCTGGTAAGACTATGGCTTTTTCCCAAAATATTGGGTCAAATTCTCATCATTTTGTCAACTAAAATTAGATTCATTGTACTTCAAATGACACGTGTACTATTCATGGAATTGAGTAATGAACTTAATCACCTTTTTTCAATTAGCTTGATATTTGACCAGTTAGTTTTCGAGTTTAATTATTTATGTACGCAACTCAATCAACTAGATTATTAGTCAAATTTCGGCATCAGTCACGGGCAAGCCCAAAAATTCGTCGTTTGAGGCTTTTACAAATAGATATTCAAGGTTGAAAAATCGATTGATGAAAATCAAGTTAGTAATATTTTAAAAATCCGTAGAAAATTTCACAAATGGAAATTTATGTGACAAAAAGACTTAACTTGACACGAAGGGAATTTCGTTATATTATATAACATATCAAAATCAGATAACACAAACCTGAAAGCATGTAAAACTATGTCCCAGTCCCACTTCCCACCTCTGCAGCTCGAGTAAATTAAAAGTGTAGTTTCTACAGTGATTGCTGACATCAATGTGACAATATTTTTCTTAATACATTGACAATTTTTACCACTATTTTTTTTATAAACTTGCTCCTTTTGATCATCATCCATTTCTTATTATTCAAGACCATGTTTGTCCCTGCAATTCGTACAGATCTGGATTCACAAAAGTTGGCTGCTGCACTTTCCCTAACTGATATTTCTCTACAATGCTTGGAGAATTTCCATTACTGTTCAATGGGGCTTGGTTAATATTGAAAGTCGCATTATGTGAGGTACTGTCACTGAAAAGTTGGGAAATGGATCCCAAATAATCAAATTCCCATAGATGAGTTAGAGAAGAAGGCCTTGGAAATTTTAGGGTTTGTGGTTCAGTACTGGCATCAGTAGCAGTGGTCACAGTTTTGGTAAAATGATTCTCTGCAATTTGTGCAGTTGCTCTTCCGAAATTCTTCTTCTTGTAGATTCTGCATAGCACCCAATCATCCAACTGATGCACATTAAACAAACAAAAACTAACGTTATTAGGTCAAATCAATATGGGCAAAACTCAGACATGATTTAAAAAATTAATACAATACGAAAAAGAATTGAGTGCTTACCCTCATAGAACCATTTTGTTTGAGAGTTGGTCGAGATCTTGATTCATTCAAGCGATATTCATGCATAATCCAATCAGTTTTGATGCCCTTTGGGGGCCTACCCTCGTAGAATACTAGGGCTTTCTTCACCCCAACGTTTCTTGATCCACTATAAATGACTTTATCAGTTCCCGTGGCTTTCCAATAACCAGACACAGCTGCTCTATTTGGCCTAACCCCATTTGGATATTTCCTATCTCGAGGGCTGAAGAAATACCATTCATTTTCTCCAACTTCTGCCTTTTCTGCACTTGAGACGACCATCAATTAAAATCACAAAATAAGGATCCTCAAGTGTATCAAGATTTAAGTAGTGTAAACGAGCACTTAAACTTTCATTGAATGTACGGTGGCTTGGACGTGTCCACTACTGTGTGTCAAACATGTTTTTGGAGCGTGCTATTAAAAACATGTTTAACATGTATTATTAGACATAAATGGACACTATAATTAATGAAATCTTAACACGTTTCTTACCTTAGTAATGTGTATTTAACTTTACCAAAATTCTCTTGTCAATAATTTCAAACGACTAATAAAACATTTGTATCATGTTTAGTGTGCTGGACTAGTAGAGTCGTCATATATTTGAAATAACACTTTCATAAATGATTTATAAACTAAAAAAATATTAGAACAAGTTGTTATCGAGTATACTAACCAGGCAATTCCCATGGATCGAATTTGTAAATATCAACTTCTGGGATGATCGAAACGGGGCATGGCCTCGAGCTAGCCTGGTTCCGAAGATAACACATGATTAATTCTTCATCAGTTGGGTGGAACCTAAAACCAGGAGGTAGTTCAGTACAAGTTCTTCCCACCATCTTCTTGAAGAATTTCAAAACAAGTAGAACAAAGGTGAATTAAGAGTGTTTGAAATGTTTG